TTTCATTCTTTCTATATTCATTCATTCTTTTTCATCCCCTATTCTTTCATTCTTTCTATATTCATTCATTCTTTTTCATCCCCTATTCTTTCATTCTTTCTATATTCATTCATTCTTTTTTTCATCCCTTTCTATATTCTTTCATTCTTTTCGTCCATTCTTTCATTCTTTCTATATTCATTCATTCTTTTTCATCCCCTATTCTTTCATTCTTTTCTATATTCATTCATTCTTTTTCATCCCCTATTCTTTTCATTCTTTCTATATTCTTTCATTCTTTTCATATATTCATTCTTTCTATATTCATTCTTTTTCATCCCCTATTCTTTTATTCGTTATTTTTACCATTACTTCGTTTACTTCCATTTTTATCTTTTTAAATTCTTTCATTGATTCTTTTCCACCATTTTTTTTGGTTTATATCCATTCACTTTTTACGTTTTTTATTAGATTTTTTCAAGCTTCATCTCTTCTTCGATATTTCGTCAAAGATGAAAAGTGAAAAAAGAAAACAAGTCAAAACAAACAGCATTAAAAAAAGAAATAAATGTCCTTATCACCTTTTTAATTTCATTTCCTTTCTACCCATAATTCATAGTTTATTACTGATGTTGACGTCGATTAAGAGACTTAAAAAGGAGAAATAATCGAACTTTCTTTGATGTCGGCTGCCTCAGTCATTCTTTACACCCTTGCTCGGAATTGTTACCAAAGAGCAACAGAGTTGCCAGGACTGAGCCAGCATTTCGTATCAATGGAAGCGGTCTTGACTTCAATTACTATCAGAGATACAATAGGCAGATTAAACGAATGGACTTGACTCGGTAAGGGGTTGGTGTAGGGGATAGAAGCTGAACCGAAGAGGAAATGAGGAAAATTGCTTACGAAATGAGAAACATTCTTTCATTATTACAAGTTATTTTTCTCTTCTTTTTTTCTTTCCAGCTTTGCCTGTTTCGTAGTTTAATTTATTTCATGTGTATTTATTTATTTAGCTGTTGTGTTTGGTCCAAACAAACCTTTCTTCTTCTTTTTCTTCTTTCTTCTTCCTTTCTTTCTTTGAATGGTTATCGTTTTCTTCCTTTTTTTTTTCTTTCTTTCTTTTACTGTTCATTTTTATCTCTTTTCTTTCTTTAACCATCTTTCGTTCGATTTCTTTATACATTTTACTACACGCCAATTCCCACTGAAGAGGCATGAACCCACTTTTACTTCTCGGGGCTATAAAGTAGACTGGGTCCTCTATACTTGCTAGGGAAAGCGTGCAAAATAAAAGCAATTATTCTTCTTACATGTGCAGTGACCCTTCAGGAAGTCAGCGAACATGTTGATCCACAACCTCTTATTCTTTATACCCTTGTATTACTTTACCACCACCCCCATTCCGCAATCCGTTCACCCAATCTCGTTATATAGGTGGCCTGCTGTATTCCTCTGTCCTTTTCTTTTCGATATATCCTGTGAGGATCAATAGAAAATAGATAGGATTTGTCAGGCATTTTACCAGCTGCGATAATTGGTGTGGCTGAAGCAGCAGCTGCGTATGAAGGACATGTAATTCCCCAACGATCCTCAAATTTTAACCAAATGTAACATTTGTTCCAATTTTTATCTGGTTCGTATCGACTAAAAAGGTATCCATATAGTTTTGAAACACAATATTAGCACAGTATTTGGAGAGCGAAAAACGCCTTCCTAGAATCAAGCAAAGTATTAAGAAACACTACAATTTCGTTAGAAACAAAGAAAAGATTACTGAGCTATAATATGGGGTCCTCTTATATAGCAGTGAATCTCATTCCTGATAAAGAAACTTGAGTTAGCAGAAATCTAGTCCTACAGAAGGATACTGGGAATATCATGGACTGAATATATGAGCAACAACGAAGTTTTAGAGACAATGGATTAAAAAAAAGTAAAGTTATACTTAGAATCAGAAAAAACAACCCAAATTTCTATAGCACATAATGAGGAAAGAGGACTTAGAAAATTTGATACTCACAGGGCGGATTGAAAACAAGAGGGACAGGGAAAAGCAGCGCGTAACTTACTCAACAAGCTTGTGTAAATGGTTGACAGAAAAGTGATCTTTTATAGCAAGGTTCACTCTTTACAAGGCCTGGAGCCACTCAAGGTAGAGGGTTATGATTGGAGTCCATTTGTGTGTATAAAAGTGGAGATACAACGGTTTACCCGAGCCTTGAACAGATAAAGATTGTCTTGATCGAGGAAACGCCCTGTTGGCAGTCGGTTCCACAGGGCAGTGGTTCGTGGGAAGTTATTCGAGTGGTACTTACTTCTCACCGATGAGATACACAGGGAATGTGGGTGGTTTGTTACAGCATGTTATAGCATATCGATTAGGTGAGATACCAAAAAAGGTCAACAGCTAAGAGCTACAAAGAACAGGATGTCGTGGAGCACCACGTTCGCCCAAGTTCTGAGGGGGACACGGTATTAAGAAGAAGAAGAAGAAGAAGAAGAAGAAGAAGAAGAAGAAGAAGGCTTTTATATGCGCTAATATATACCAAGTGTAACAACAAAATTGTCCAATTATTAGACTAATATACGAACCGTTGTATCATAGAAATGGTTAAAGATATCTTATTGGAATTTTCCAAGATTTTTATAAAACTGTCAGACTCTACTTTGAATAAGGATGTATTTAGCTCTAAGTTGAAATGATGATCCTACTTGCTGTTGTAACCTACTGATCCAGTCTGAATTATATTTTTCCTCCAACCATTGCTCAATTGGGAAGATTGTGGTCCTGGCACAAAACGATTTTAATCTTTTCTCTTTCTAGCTGAATAACTCATAGATTTTTCAATGATTCTTAGAACATACGGTGTCAGGATAGCTAAACGTCTTATCCGAAAACCTGGGAAAAAGAAAGTCAACTAGTTTTGTGATTTTGTAGATATTAAACATTTTGCGGGATGAACAAATATGTTGCTACACGATTGGGACAATTTTGCTGTTACACTAGGTCTAATAAAAAAAATATTGTTTAAGTAACAGGAGCTACAAAAGACAGGAAATTGAGGAGAGATATGATCGCTTACGACCTGAAGGGATACGACACATAGAAGAATTTTAAAAGAAAAGGTAGAAATAAGTTCGCGCAAATAATAAACAACCTTGCAGCGATCATAAACTGACACTAATAAAGACAAAAAATAAATATGCTAAAAGTGGTAAAGCCATTTTTAATTTTTTTAAATGTTTTTTTTTACATTTCTTAAAATTTTTAAGTTTATATCTTTTAATGTAGATTTTTTTTTTTTAAATTAAAATCATTTAAAAGAATAAAAACTGCACCACAAACACATTAGACGTCAATAATGATAGCGACTTTTTTTAAAAAAGGCATTTCAATGTGGCTCTGTGGACGACAAGGACATCGATGATGACAACGATGTTTATTCGGCTTGGAAGGAAGGAAGGAAGGAAGGAAGGAAGGAAGGAAGGAAGGAAGCAGCAAATAAAGAAGAAAGAAAACCGGAGAGGGAATAAGAATATAATCAAAATAAAAATAGAAAGAAGAATAAATGAAGGAACCAAAAACTTTGGAAAATGAAGAAAGTAATATGAAAATAAATTAGAAATATGAGCATAGAGAGAGGAAAGAAAAGAAAAGGAAAAGGAAAAGGATAGAAATGTTGGTAAAAAAAAAGATAGAAAATAAACGATAACGTAAACAAATATACATATAAAAAAAAAAAAGGGAGAGAATAAATATAGAGAGAGTGAAAGGGTGAATGAAAAACGGTAAGGGACGTTTGATAACTCATATTCATCTTTGAGAGAAAAAAAATAAATGTAGAAAGAAAGAAAGAACATTTTCATAAAAGATAGAAAAAGAAGTAAAAAGCAGAGGAAGTTAAAATAAAACGTGGGTGTAAAAGAAAGAAAGAAAGAAAGAAAGAAAGAAAGAAAGAAAGAAAGAAAGAAAGAAAGAAAGAAAAAACAAAGAGGAAAGAGAAATAACATTTTCAATAAAAGAAATCAAAAGAAACTAAGTGTAGCTGGAACTGTCATGGCGTCTATTTCTGATATGGGGAGCAACGACACAAAATAATGTGAAAAAAAATAAATGAAGAAAGAAAGAATGAAAATTTCCCGTAAAACGAGGGACAATTAGAATAAAACGTGTGTGTAAAAGAAAGAAAGAAAGAAAGAAAGAAAAAAGAAAGAAAGAAAAGGAACATCTCGAATAATAGAAATAAAAAGAAACTCTAAGAGTAGCTGGAACTGTCATGGCGTCAATTTTTGACATGTAGAGCAAACTAAAAACTGCATAATATCAAAGTAAATCATTGAAAAAAAATCGCAGTGTTTGGTTAGTTATTTAAACTCTTTGTTACACATTAATTTTATGCTCTCGTAATTTACGCATCGAGGTGTGTGCATTGTAAAGCAATGAATAACAGTTTGGAATAAGAAGTCAAAGAGCCGTGTACGAATTCCAGTCAGGTTCGTTACATTCACTTACTCGAAAACAGTCTTGGGAAAGATATGAATCCATCTTTTCTCCTCGTCACTAGCTATGCGTAGAATAGCAAGATAGACTGGGTAGCAACTAGTCTACCGGAGAAATAAACGACAACCAACTGCGGGAAAATCTTCTGCCCAGTCAGTCATCAATCGAAAGAGACATGAACGCCCAAATGTGGATCATGTATGGCACTGAACGTACACAGATCGATAAAGCATAGTTATAAAAAAATATGTACAGGTTATCTGAATTGTATTTAATGTTCTCCTGTTTTTAAAAAGGATTACCTTCAACGGCGTGCAAAATACTTTATTAGAGATCCTGTGAATGTTGTAGCAACCTCTGCATCAATATTTGGCCAGACACGCATGCGTTAAAAAAACCTCGTAAGCGACATCAACTCCTTTCAGCCAGAAATCCGGAGCATGCGCAGCGCGAATGTTGCAAAGGGTACTTCTTTTTCGAGCAACGAGGAAGAATGACAATCTTCACGGCCCCAGACTTACGGCCATATCACGTGGAAACGCCGATTCTCATACGATCACTGAAGTTAAGCAACGTCGAACCTGGCCAGTACTTAGATGGGTTGCCTCTTGGGAATACCAAGTTATGTAAACTTGGTCGTGGGGATGATTTAACAAATAAAGGTTCTGAATTTGAAATCGTGGAGCCGAGTTCCAGTTCTAGTCGGGTCCATTATATTCACCTACGCGAAATATGCTGGAGAAAGTAGGAATCACCCTGTTCTCCCCACATCTATGGATTAATGAGTATGTTTTGTATCAGTAAATAATTATTATCTAAAAACAATTCTTCCAATTTAAAATATATCTAAAATTAGCTTTAAATAATCTACTTCCAAGCGTCTGAGCACGAAAGATTTTTATTCGCCAATACGTTATTATTATTATTATATTTTTCATGGTGCATATGCCAAGGATGCCTCATTTCACCATATCTATTCAAACACTACTGCGAAGCTTCCATTAGTGATGTCTTTTTCGTTTTCTGTTGTTAAGCAAAACCCATTTTTCACCACCTCTAAGAATGTAATGCAAATATGAAAATTTGAATTTTCTGCTTGAAAGACCGATATAGATCGACGAATATTGTATTTACTTCCAAAACGAAACCTTAATTTCTCTTCTTACAAAATTTAATTAAACTCTGAAATCTACTATAAACAACAGCTTGTCTGGTAGCAGAGATGAAAACTACTTTTTTAATCGGCATTACCCCATGCAAGGCAGTAAACCGACTAAAACACAATGGGTTACAGTGTATAGAAGAATTAGGAACAGAAACATTAATAATGAAGAGAAACAGAACAAAGTAATCAGGAAGACAGTAAATAACGATTGACATTCTATTTAAATTTTTGCAGATTAAAATTGGCTGGAAAGCATGGAGCTAAAAGTGAATTCTACAAGCAAGACGTGCGAGAAAATAAACTATTAGAGATTACGGCTACATCTAGCCAGATCAACTGTAAATTGATGAGATCTAGTACTGCGATAAAATTTAAAATTACCATTTTGTAATTTCTGTCTATCCTACTCATCCTATAACATATTAGTTAATTTTTAATAGCCTCGTAAATTAATATAGGGTATTCTTTTTATATTTAAAAAGGAAAACATTTTCTAAGTTCTAGTAAATTCTACGCTGGCGTGACACCTAAAAATCGTATTGAAAGTCATCGAAAAGTTTGGAACACATTCTAGAGCTCTTGTAAAGATAGGAAATCCCTATTTTCCTCTCTGTTTGGAAGAGAATTGTCCAAGGGTTTAAAAGACAGGGAAAAAGGAATAAGAAATGTTGATTGAGGAATATTCCCAGATCCCTCACAGGAAACGATAAAGGAAGAAACAAGCGGGTATTCCCCATTGACAGCGTCAATTTAAAACTGTCAAAACGGTTGTGCATCTAGGTGAACAGTGCGTAAAAGATTATCCGAACAAGTTTTTCAATTACCAAGTTTAGCAACAAAAACTCCTCTTGGGACCAGGAAAAGTCTCATATCGTCTCCATTTCTCCATTTTGCCTAGATTTACAAAGACCTACTTGTTACAGTTCACCAGAGTGTCTCACGTGCCGTTAATACTACAGTGAGTGCGTCAGATTTGTACCCTTTTGCAGTGATCGTCTATGCAAATAAATTAGTAATTATGAATATTCACATCGGAACAAAGCATTGTATATCATACCAGTTTCGCAGACAGTATAAAATTAAATCCACACCAGGCGTCTTGCATATATCTTTATGCCATAATATTACAAACTTGCTAAAGGTTAGGTTGTTATAATGCTATGCCATAATATTACAAACTCGCTAAATATTACGTTGTACTAATATTATGCCTTAATACTATAAACTCGCTAAATATTAGGTTGTCATAATATTATGCCATAATATTGCAAACTCGTTAAATATTAGGTCGTCATAATATTATAACATAATATTACAAACTCGTTAAATATTAGGTTGTCATAATATTATGCCATAATATTGCAAAATCGCTAAATATTAGGTTGTCATAATATGCCATAATATTGCAAACTCGCTAAATATTAGGTTGTCATAATATTATACCATAATATTACAAACTTGTTAAATATTAGGTTGTCATAATATGATGCCATAATATTGAAAACTCGCTAAGTATTACGTTGTCATGCATGAAATAACGAATTTGTTGGTTGATTGTTGATCTGGTCATCTAACTAATTAGCCTCAGTAATATATTTTTAAAAAAACTTGATTTTTTAAAAAAATAAATCAAGATAATAACATGTGACTCTTTTTCTTTCCAGATAATGTTTCTTTGAATAAAGGGTGAGTCTGTGCGCACGTGTGGTCAGAACGCTTGCCCTCTGACCATGAGACCCGTGTTCGAATCTCAACAAGGTGGATTTGCCAGGAAGGAGGCTTCCTGATGTTGTCGGACTGGAGGGGTCTATCCCAGCGTGCGGCACCTTCGGAAAGTGCATGAAAACCATACCACGGCTTGACCCAAGCCTTGTGTATGAAATTGGGTAGACGGAATCCTTGGGTGCCGTCGATAGCTGCGCTAGCACGAAGTCATAAGTCATCGTGGCCGAGGCTTAAGCGTGCTGGCCTTGTTCAAATTGTTGATCATGCTAGACAACACAAACTACAGAAACTGTAACTAAGGCCTACTCAGTTTAGTTGCAGTATAAACCACAGGTAGGCTCTATGGATGTTGAATAAACAGAAATGCGCCTGAGCAAGAATCTGCAATGGGATTTGCTAGCCGCCATGGCAGACCGGTATCTTCGAATTTGAGTGGCCAGCTATGCATACACAGGTTGACTCAAAATGATGTTAACACTAGTATGAGAGGAATCATTTCTTCAGCGTTTACTGAACAGACTCCACCTGTCCACCAGCACGATTGATGTACAGAAAAAAGCGATCAGCAGTACAATTTAGTGCCTTGACACACAGTTCACGGGTAATGTTTGATATTATACCTTTTATTCTGTCTTTGAGTTCTTCGATGTCTCTAACTTTTTTGCTATACACACGATCCTTTATCATACCCTATAACTAACAGAGGAGTGTGGCGGACATGCCAACAGTCTGCTGCGACTTATCCAACGATTTGTACAGTCAAAATGAGGCGGTGTATCATCCTGTTGGAAATAGACTGCTCGTCTGATTTGTAGGGGTAGGGTAGCAATGGCAAAATCTTGCAGCATTTGTAAGTAAACATTAGCACTTACCACTGAAATTGTAAGGAAATATGGGACAATTACACCCTGTGACTTCTGGTTATTTTGAGTCATCCTCTCATACTAATGTTAAAATAATTTTGACTCACCCTGTATATTGTTACTCATAAGCCCAATGAAAATGATTACAATAAAACAGTGGTGAATAATCTTACTATATGAGTACAAACTTGGAAAAAGAACCATTTTTGCATCGAATCATTACATGCGATGAGAAATGTATACTCTTTGACAACAGCAAGACAGTAGACCAGTGCTTAGATACAAGGAATCACCATAATACGACCCAAAACCTGAACTGCGCTGTAAAAAGTTAATTTTTACTGTATGGTGGTCTTTCAAAGGCGTTTTTCATTCTTGCCTCGAGGGAAAACATTAACAGTTAATTTGTATGTGGAGAAATTGTGTATATGCACGAAAAATTGAAAAAGCAACATTCTAGACTTGTGAATAGTGATGGCCCTATTTTGCTGCGCGACAATGCACGTCCGCACGTTTCTCACTAAATTGTCCAAAAGCTGCATAGCCTAAAATATGAAATTTTGTCTCATTCTCCATTTTTACTTTATATCTCCCCTATTGATTATCAATTTAAACATTTTGAGCTTTTCATACGCAATAAACCATTCTCCAATAAGGAAGACATCATCGAATCATTTGAACTGTTTATCCCATCAAAGGACGAGATATTTTTAAAGATGGGATTAAGAATTTAGTAGTAATTAGAGAAAAGTCATTCATCAACATGGTGCCTATTTAAATTAAATAAATTAGTTATTTGACATTTCAGAAGAGTATTATTCATTTCCTATAAAGTGCATCATTTCTTTTGTAACGACCTAATAAAAACACAAAGTTATTAATCATTAGCATTATTTTGGATTAATTAAATAAGGTATTATCTGACACAAACATAGAAAAAAAGAGAATGTATTTTTCGTGAACTGAGCAAGACAAAAACTGGCTGATATTTTTATGACCTGTATTTCTTCAGGTAGGTTCAGTTGCAACTTAGTTGCTAATAATTTTGAGGTTTCAAAAATTTCTTGTGTCAGAAAAATTTTGTCTCAGATCTTTGGCCGGTTTTGGCACGCACTCTCAAAAAGTTTTGCCCACCCCTTGGTGTAGACAAAGGAATCTATGCTGCATCATGACTGTTAATGTGGCATGAGTACGTTCCTGGGCTTCATATATAGGCTCTTTTCTTATTGCGGAAACGTGAAGAAAGAATATACAAACCTTTTTTTTTTTTTTTTTTTTTTTGTTAAGGGTTAAATTTTCTTCGGTCGAGCCTTAGGGAGGACGATTCATCTTCAAACATTGTGTACTGGCGCTACAGAATCTCAAAGTACAACGCCAAATCAATGTCACTTGAGGACTTTCAGCAGTAGAAACAATTAAAATGGATAGCACTCGAAAAGAAAATAATCTAAATCAAGGTGTTAACCTTCCAACAATACTGTAAAGAGTAATAACAGTAAGTGGAAATAAAATCTACTCATCTGAAAAATTGTTTTAAGAGAAAGATTTTTTTTATAAATATCAACCGACAGTAGCAGTGGCTGCTCGCTCAATGAACACATAACGTTTCCTTATAAGGAAACGGCTAATATTGCCATTACTAATGTTATTTCTATTAATATTCTTTATATATATCCACTTATATATTTCATTAATTAGTTTTGTGTATTTTGCTTATTTGTTTTTTGATACTTGAAATACATTTCTAAATTATGATATATGAAATTAAGCATATTAGATTCGTATATATTTGTAAGTTCTTGAAAATGTAGTAGGTGGCATTTTAAAATTTGGGTTGCTGCACACGTGCTCATCCAGTTTTTATGTCAGA